GAAGGACCTGGGCAAGCTGCACCGTGCCGCCGCCAGCGGCGACCTGGCCCAGTTGCGGCAGGGACTGAAGAAATACGGCGTCGACAGGCGGGACAAGGCGGAGCGGTAGGCGGGGGAGCAGCGCCGAGCGGGCGCGAAGGCGGGGGGGGCTGCAGCCCCCGGCTGCTCAGCGGCCGCGTTGCTGCGGGGTGCGGGAAGGCTGGTTCGCAGTCGCCCTCCGCCCTCGGCTGGGTGCGGGCGTCGTGCTTGTACTGCCAGAAACCCTTGAATTCGGCCTGGCATCCAGCTGTCGCCTTACCCTTTTCGCTCCGGCCTCCTCAGCGCCTGGAGTCGCATATCCTTGCCTGGGGGCGCAGGAGTGGCAGGGAGCTGGCAGCAGCCTGGCAAAGGTGGGCTGCTGAAGGGGCCTCACGGCCATTCTCCAGCCACGCCTTGAAGTCACAATGCAGTCGCCTGTATCTTGGGCATCTCAGAGCGCTCTGCGTGCAGGCTTAGTAGTTGAGCTAGGAAAGCTGGACTGCCTCAGCTGAGAGTAACTGAAGGAGAGGTAAACACTGCAGTTAGGAAAGAGTTACAGCACAGAATAAACGCTATGTTTATTGATGCTACATGCGCAATTGCCTTATGTGCCTTTTGGGACTGTGATGTGGCAGCCAAAGCAACGCTCTGCTCTTAGGTGGCAGTTAGTTAGTTGCTTGGTCTGAGGCTTTGGTACTGCTAATCAGTACTTTGGATTGTAAGATCTGGGCAGTGACTTTCAGGAGAAGCTGCTGCTTCTGGGAGGTGTTCTTGTGGGGGTTTTTGAGTCAAGCACATCAAGTATGTGGCAATTATATCTGAAGAAGCAGACCTGGGCTGCAGCATAGCTCATACAGTGATCCATCACAAGCATAAGGGAATCAGCTGAAGTTTTTGGGTCTTACGTGTGTCAACATTTCAGTGCCTTTCCCAAAAAGACTTGGAGTCAAAACCTTCATGATATTCTGAAGACATGCTGGTTTTCTTAGAGTAGCTCAGCTTCCTAGGCTGTCTGTCCTGAAGACTGGACTTCTGCCAGCCAGCTAGTTTATTGCCCTAAAAACACCTAAGACCACCGACATTTGTAGGAGAAGCAAGGAAGAGCACAGTAAGTGCGCACTTTAGTAATGCGGGCTGTGTGCCTGAGTGTTACCAGTCAGTATTTGTTTATATGACTGGAGATGGGGGATGCAATTTAAGGTGGGTTGAGGGCATTTTGTGCATGCTGCATCTGCCTGGATCAAGGTGCCCAGTGGCATTTATGGAAATAGCTGCTGAATGTTTCTCATTTTTTCTTCTTAATCATTGATCTTTTACTGTGGCTGATTCAATCATCAGGTCTTAGCAGACCCTGGTATGAAATTTGTCTAGATTTTGCATTTTAAGTTCATCTTGTCTAGAAAGCTTTGTTTCCTCTGGAAAGGCATCCTTCTGTGTGTTATGCTATTATCAGTGTTGTAACTGGACAAATAAAGTAACAGACTGTAAAAAAATAAACCAAGAGACGAGGCAGTGTACATACAATAGTGCACTACGATGGTTTTGGCATGACAGTGCCCTGTGCTGTAGAGCTTTCCTGAGAGGTACTCAGTGCACAGTCTGCCTGCTTGCTGCAGCCTCTGTACGCTATACCAGCCATCAAGGTTGCAGGCACACCTCTGCCCTCTTACTGCCTGTGGAATTGATGTGTGTCCTGAGTGACCACCAGATGCAGTTATGTTTCAGAGCTTCATTGTGTCCTCCAGGGACTGGAGAAGTTGACATCGTTGGAAATAGAAGTGAAGAATAGGAAATGTGGGAAGTAATGGTTGTGTGCATTGTTCACATGAATATCTGAGTTCTGCTCCTCAGGATTTCCAGAAGAAAGATCCTGCCCCAGGGACGTGGCAAGTATCATACCTACAGGCTCCTGTAGCTGATAGGACCTCCCAAAAATGCACTTGGAGCAGTATCCGTTGGGAACATACAGTTTTTCAGAGGTGGCCTGGCAAAGCATTCAGCCTTGCTGGAAGAGATCAGCAAAACTCAATGCAGAGTTGGAAGCACTGTAGGTGTGATGCTGACTAGTCATGAATCCTGGGTCAGAGCTAATCACTGAGAGAGATTTACTCCATCAGCAACCCGTCAGAGTGAACTCTAGAGCTTTTCATGGATTAGCTTGTACCTGCCTGGTTGTCAGTTCAAGTGCTGTGGAAAGTGGTTGCCGCCAACCTGCTGTTTCCCTGTGGTCTCCCAGTGAGGTTGTTCTGCAGCTGCTCAGGCATCAGCAGTTCTCTTCTACCGCATGGTGGATCAGGATGGGATTGCAGCCGCAGCAGGAGGAGCGGAGTCTGGGCAGGGTCCCCAGGGCTGGGTGGCAGAACAGCTTTAGTATTACTGGAGGTCTCTTTGGGGACAGGCAACTGTGAACACTCTGATGTTCTCTGCCAGCCTGTTGCCTCAAGTGAATCTCCTGTGGATCAGCAGGCCATGCTCCAAGCAAAGCCAGATCCTTTTCTGTTGGCAGACTGAGAGGCTTGGTTGAGGAGGGCAGCAATTTGTCTGCAGGTTTTTTGAAGGCTGAAAACTGTTTGCAGAGTTGATAGTGGCTCCTTCAGCTTTGTCACGCTTCCAAGCACTTGGTAGTCGCAGCTTTTAGGTGATTGTGGAGTCTTTCATAACCAGTCCTGGTTAGCTTTCAGAGAATCTCAGTCTCATCTCCACAGATGAAGGATCCTGCATACTTATATGGGAATTTCTCAAAAAGTGTTAGTAGTTGCTCTTGAGGGACTCTTCTGTTGGTGCTTCAGTCTGTTCCCTGTCTGTAGCAAGACATTGCAAGTTCTTTGAAATTTTGTGTTTTTCTTGTCATCGTCCTTGTTGCCCTGGAGAAGGTTCATCAGCTGCCCTGTAACAAGAAGTGTTTGCATTACAAATTGCTGTGTTTCTCATCACGTGCCACTGCATTTGTGTACCTTTTCCCTTCCTACCATCCAGTGAGCCCTTCAGCTCCCTGTCTCTCACCAAGGTACCAAAACAGTTGCAAGGTTAGTTGAGCTTTCCTAAATACAGAGAAGGACCTACCCACAGTGGTTTGTCTCAAAACTAGTACTGGCATTCTCCTTGACTCTTGAGGCACTGAAGGATTTTTATTGCATCACCTTCAAGGGAGGAAGGTCCCAGCTGTTTTCAAGCCTGTCTCCTGCTCTGTTGGGACAGATGTGCCTTGTGCACAAAGTGAAGCTTGTGCTGGTTTGTGCCTGTGTTTTAGGGGGAAACACATTCAAAGACTTTATGGGTGATTTTGTCTTTGGATATAAGAAGGCTGGTTAATTCACATCAGATCAAAGATGTTCTGTGGTTTGAAGGAGCCCTTTTCATTCTGGCAAGGCTTTAACTTGAAGAAAATGTTTTACTTTCTTATGCTGATCATGTATTGTGGAAATACAGTATTCCCTCCTCAGAGAGGACTTCCTCTGTAGTAGGTATTTTATGACAATGATAGTTATACATATCAGGAATGTCAAATATTACTTTCCTGTAGCCAGGATTACAGTGTTCTGTTGTCTGGTTTGCTACATATTATCAGTGGCACCTTGGTGCAGGTGTGTCCTTGTTTTTGCTGCAGTAGTAAGCAAGCTAGGGAAAAAACAGAAATCCTCAATGTACCAGGAAACACGAATATTCTTGCTATAAAACCCATCTCCTACATCTCTGATACACTTCTGGCACATGAATGATCACAGAAGAATGTAAGGATTTGCCTGCCATAGTCCTTAGATTCCCAAGCTTTGGTCTCTGTTGCTGTACCATATGTGTAGTCCTGCTGGAGGCAGTGACCAGTGCCCAGGCACAGGAATCTGTGCAGATTCACTTCTACAGTTGAAGGAAATGTCACCTTTCCAAGCAGGGGTTATGGAGGGGTTTTGCTGGCCAACCTCAGGAATTTGGTGTGCAATTGCCGTTACTGGTAATGGAATAGGAAATCTTTTCTTAACCTTGCTTTTTACAAAGTGAAACTTGTGGTCATATATCACAGCCTGAAATGATTTCTTTAGTTGTCTGTTCTCTAATTTAATATATTTCATTTTTAGGACACCTCTGCATCTTGCTTGTGCAAATGGCCATGTGGATGTCGTTACATATCTAGTAGAAAACAAGTGTAAGCTGAATCTTTTTGACAGTGATAACAGATCACCACTGATGAAGGTATGTGGAATGTGTTATGTTCTCGTAAGTGGAGCTTACTGATTATGCACTTAATTATGTAACTTGCAGGATTCTTTACAGATAGATCTGTGTAGAAACATGCATATTGTCATTGGCGTGGCATAGACATATGTTAGCTAATCTTTGAAGATGCTCTTATTTTCCAGCATTGGGAAGCAGGTGGAATTGTAACAGAGTGAAATGTAAAATCTGGAAGTATTTCCTTTTTTCTGTGTTGTTCCCAGGCAGCACAGTGCCAGCAAGAAAAATGTGTGGCTATTCTGCTAGAGCATGGTGCTGACCCAAATCTGGCAGACACTGATGGCAACACTGCCCTTCACCTGGCTGTCCTGTCTGCTAATACAGCTGTAGTGGGGCTGCTACTTGAGCATAATGCCAGTATTGATGCCCAGAATAAGGTAAATTTTTGTACTTGTTAAGGAAGTTCTTTCAAAAAGTTTTACTAAAAATCCTCTGTTTTTTTGACTTTGATTTTTAACTTGATTTATTTATCTGCCCTTTCAGGAGGGATATACCCCGCTTCTTCTTGCTGTCTCTGAACATCATGAAGAGATAGTAGAGTTTCTTCTTAAAAAAGGAGCTGACGTGCATGCTCGAGATCAGTGTGAAAGGTGAGGAGTTTGTCAAAACTCTACATGGGATCTTTAGTATTCTTTAGGTTACATTGATGAGGGGCATGGGAATCAGCTCTGAAAAAAACCAACAGGGAGCCTCACAGAAGGAGCTATTTCTGTGTGACTTGTGAAGGCAGTTCTGGAGGTGGCTGCTGTCACAGCTCAGTGGACCCTTCCTGCACTGAGGATTGCAAGAAGGCACTGTCTGTGATGGCCCTTCTGCCAGGAAGCGTGCCCTTAGCTCAGCAGCACGGCCTCAACTCAAAAAACCATCTCCCGCATAGCAGCATAGTTTGTATGTAAGTGTTGTCTATGCGGAAGCTTTGTCTGATTCGATTGTTTTGATTACCTTTCCCATGTTATTGTGGCTCTTAATGAAAACTGCTTTTTCTTTCTTTCATTTTAAAATAATGGGGAAAATACTTTTTTTTGGAGAGCAAGTAGGCATAACAATAATGACAGGGTCTGTGTGAAATGATGTTTTTCAAATCATATTTTGAATGTTTCAGAACCCCACTTATGACTGCTGCTTCTGGTGGGGAGCTTAATTTGATAAAAGTTCTTCTTCGCTATGGTGCTGATGTTTCCCATAAAGACACTAATGGTTGGACAGCTGAGGATTATGCTGTTATTCATGGATATTCCAGGTAAATTTCTAACTTTATTTTTAGAATAAGTTGTCAGTTGTCAGTGTGACTTTTGAACATTTTTGTTAACAGTACTGAGGTTTAATGGTGTGTTGAGACCTGTCTTGAAGCTGTACGCAGTAACATCTTCTGATAGGTGGTGTTCCTGTGCCTAGTGTTAATTTGGACGTTGAGGAAAATTTTCACTCGGATTTCTCTGTTAGATTTCAAGTTTTGTTGCCAAGCTCACATCTGCCTAATATAAACTCTAAAAAGTATCTGAATCCTGTAGTTATCCAGAGGTGCAATTTGGCAGACTGAAACGTATTTAAACCCTCTCCACAGACCAGCACCATTGTCCTTACTGACCTCCACTACAGTGACCAGGAACTGCCAGCCTTTTGTTTCAGAGGAGATCTAACTGATATCCCTTTTGTTAAAATCTTAAGCAGTATTACTCTTATACATAGTTTTATACCTGTGGGTGTTCATTCTCTAAGGTGGTTATGGGTGCTTAAAAGCTAGGTTGGAAAAAATGTACCAAGCAAGAGTTAATATCTTTGTAGGTATGAATATGCATCTATAGAATGAACATGACTGTATTGAAATGTGTAAGCAGTCATGCAGCAAGTTCTGTATTACCCTTTGTGAATCGATATGAGTATATAAATTCATATGGTTATGAATATGTATAGGATGGATAATAAGTGGCTGTTAACTATTCTATTAAATGGTTTAGGCAAGTACATGGTTGTTATTACTAAATATATTTCCTCTCTTTCTCTGTATAGTCTTAGTAAGCAACTGGCAGAATACGCAGACTGGGAAAACACAGGAGAAGCTTCTGCAGGTGGTGCACAAGGCATCACAGTACTTAGCACTCCTCACCGGGCAGGAGCTGCTGGCTTTACACTGGGTGCACCTGCTGTGGACAGAGGAGGTAGGATCCTTCAACCGTGGAGGAGGTCATGTGGAAAATTAGTGGCCTTTAGGTGGTTTGTGTTGTTGACACTTCCTATGTTCACCATTGACTATAGTGGGAGGCATCAGATGGAGTAGCACAAGAAGTTTTGTGAACGTATTTGTTTGTTGCTAGTTAGAGGTGCTTCTTGTCAGGCTGTGAAGGCAGTTGGGATTTGTGTGCTACATGCCCACTTATAGGGTTGTTGCCTTCTGCCTGTCAGATTGCCATCTATGTAAGTTTTCCTAGAGAGAGAGAGAAAGGGGACAGAGAAGGAATTAGGGAAAAGTTTTTTTCTGTTCTTCAGGTGTGTACTTTTACCTATAGATGGCCATTCAAACTGTGAAAATCCATTTGCAAAACCAGTAGGTTCATCCTGAGTAGTTTTTCATCTTTCTGTAGTTGAGGAGCAAGGGATGAGTTAGCATGAAGATGCATGTCTTGTTGATTTCCACTGAGTTTGTTTAATATCAATAGTTTCACCTGCACTAAGATCTTTGTAGTGAGTCATCTCGTTTCTCAGCATCAGTTACAATTCCTTCTGTGAACGTGCTGTAGAGACATATTTAGGAAAAATTGTCGTGGAAAAGTAACTTTGTTAACAACAACAACAACAACAACAATGCAGTGTCTATATATACTGTATCTTCTTGGACATAGTTTGATATACAATAAAAATAATTATTTTCTTCCACTTTCAATAATTTTATGAAATAAACTTTAAAAAAATCCGTTTTACCTTGTGATCCAGAAAAACTATTAAATTGCCTTGTGATCAAAAAATTAACTCCTTCAGTGAGTTTTTAAAATCCAGTCTATGCTTATGAGCTCGCATAGCACTAGAGGAATTTTATAAAATTAATATTTTAATATAAATGAAATTGTTTGTCCTGTACTTTATATCTCAGGCTCTACAGTGGGAGGTTTTATTCTTTCTGGTTTCTTAAGAGTGTTCTCAGAACACCATGTGGCAAACGGGCAGCAGTGTTCACACACAGTTCATTACTCTTTTTTAAAATATGTTATGAATATGAGCATAATGTGGGATATTTTTCCTCATTGACTTGTCCCAGACATGGGAATTTAATTTAGAGCCAAAATTTCTTCCTTTGACTTGATAACAGTTATTTTGGTCTAGTTGGAGATTTGTAAAGTTAATTGATAGATCAGAGGAAGAGAGTTGCTTGTTTGGGTTTTTTTTTTTTTGTGTGTGTTTGAAAGGGTTTGGTACAGATAGTTTAATCAGCAAAATGTTGCTTTCACCCAAACAGCACTCTCTGTTACTGCCTCCTGTGCATGTAGAGAATTGCTGGGGTACCACATTAGAATGAGTCACTTTAAAACATATGACTTGAAGAATAATACTGTTGTGTGATTCCAAAACTGATATACCCTCAGGGAAACAGGAGTTCTAGAACCAAATAATTTGCCCCATTCCTTGAAAACTATACTAGTGCTAATATAAGTCCCAAACATTATGGGAAGTCTTTACTTCTCTTCATTTGAAGAGTAAGTGTGAAGAGAATGTTATGTGGCTTAAGGACCTGGGAGAAGAAAGAGTATGCTCTGTTCTCAGTCTGTTTCTAGGAGGACTTGTGTTTCTTCTCAGTAGTATGAATCCCTTTCTACTTGTGCTCAGTCTCTTAAAAGATGACCCCAGCATGCTGAACTAAAGAGATCAGTAGCATACAGGGAACATTTACTGGCATTCATTCTGTAGTCTCTGGCTTGCACTCACAAAGCACAAGTCTGGCATCATGAGAGTCCCTTTGATACGATGCAGTAACAGCCTTTGAAGCCTCTGGTAGAGGAGAAGCTGGGATGATCTTGAGAGACCAGAGAAACACTCACCAAGGAAATATTTTCTTTTTTTGCTCTTCTGTACTATTTTTCTGTGATCTTCAATGTTGTCCTTATTCCTTTTGCTACTTTTGCATTTGTTGAACATTTTTTCAAAATATTCTTCTCTAATGAGCAAGACAGCATATGTAAGGAAGTTGGCTCATGCTTGTTTGAATGTTTACTATTTGTCAGAGCCTTTTTATTAATCACAACCAAGTTTGCAAAACCTCCAAAGGAATGTCTTCCAGCCCTAGCATATTGAATGACAGACTTCAGATGTGAAGTTGAAATTTCTTTAGCAAAAAATAATAATTATACAATTTTTCTAAAGGCAAAGATTTGGGTTTATGGTATGTCTGCAGTGGTTCTTTTTTTTTGGCTACTGCACTGCATATTAGTGTATTGTTCCTTCAGTGTTTCCCTGAGTCCTTACAGAAACTGTTGATTTTTCATTGTAAAACTCTTGTAAATCACACTGAAGCACTCATTTATTTTTTATCTCCTGAGGTCAGGAAAAGTTGTCATTTATCACCTTTTAAGAAACCTGGGAAATAGAGAAGGGTTGAGAAACCATCTTGAGGTCCTCTCTTAACTCTGCAATTGTATGTTTTTGATAGAAGTCCTTTTGCCATATCTATTCCATGTATTTATGGTAAAATCAATACAAGCAGGACTCCCTTATGCTCTGAGACAAGTGTTATGGCCTTGTCACAAAGAAATTTGATGTCTGGTAGCTGCAGTTAACAGAACCACACTATTCATAGACTTATAATACAAAATTTTGTAAGTAGAGTGGGTAGAGCAGAGAGATAGTGATTTTATATTCTAAAACTTCTGTTCCACAATACACAGATGTGCATACACACCCAAAACACGTTCATGACTCTTACACCAGTCAGTGCGTCCAGCTGGCCTCCCGTATAGCCTTGGGGGAACAGGGTACTCATTCTGACTGCTTGTCACATCTCTGTTCTGTCTGGTGGCATAGCTTCTGTATGTAAACAGTTCAGCATGGTCAAATCAGTATAAGCAGGACTCCCTTATCTTCAAACTGAGGTGAAAGGGGCCTGTGTTTGTATCTGAGACCAACTGACACAACTTTTAAAGTGAGCTGGTTTAAGGCAACAAGTTTCTGAGTTGCTTTTTTAGTAAGTGATAACAAACATGCTAAAACTGTAACTTGAGATGAGCAAGTGTAAATAACATAGTGACTCAAAGTTGCATGGAGGTGTGAGCACTGAGAACGAAGACTTCCTGCAAAATTTCTGGATAGCATATCTCCAAAGTTTAGTTGTTGACAGCTAAGAATTTTTGGGATGGTTAGAGGGAGGGTTTTTAAGTGTGCTGTATTTATAAAGCACTCCACAAATATGAAGGAATTGCATTTGCAGTCTCTGTTAGATGAGGATTAGTCCAGTTGAGGGAAATATAAAGTTGGCAGTAAATTCCTGGTAATCTGTTTCAGTATTTCAGAGTGGTGGAATATGGGTATTTTACATGGAGCGAGTAGATTAAGTTGCACTGTTTGACCCTTGAGCATAGAGTTCTGTAGATTGTGATTGGTTTTGTTTCTAGCATTTATAACTGTAGAGTAGGCTGATAGTACATTCCCTCATTCTTATAGCTTTGTTGGTGTATGGTTATGTTTTCCAAATTTCTGGGAATTCAGATTTATTCTGATGTCATTTTTCGTCTGTCCTTTCCATGCCTTTTCCTAAATGGATATAGGAATGCAACAATCTCCTAACCAGACATCAAGAACAGGAAAATCAAGGAAAGGTATTCTATATAGCATTTCAAATATGAGATGTTGTACAATGAACAAATATTAACACATCTATGATGTTCATTATCCTGGAGGTCCCTATTTGGATTGTTTTGGTTTTATAAATTAGAGAGCAGGCTGTGGGTACTTTTCGTTTGCATGTTTTTCATGGATCCTTTATTATTAGATTGTTTGCTTCATTCCATTAGTGATAGTAATTTTTTCTTTTTTAATATGCTCTTCTGTTACTCCAAAATGGAAATTCACTTCAATTGAAGTGGAAACAATCAATCTCCAGAGACTGCTTTTCTAGATCCTATTTCTGTAGTAGGGCATCAAAGTCTGTCTGAAAGCTAGCTCATGAACTTTCTCTTTTGCCTTCTAAAGGACAATGTGACCTGGTTCTGATGATTGCTTCCAGAATCACAGAATCAACTAGGTTGGAAAGGACTTTGAAGATCATTTAATCTAACCGTTAACCTAGCACTGACAGTTCCTAACTACACCATATCCCCCAGCGCTATGTCAACCCGACTCTTAAACACCTCCAGGGATGGGGACTCCACCACCTCCATGGGCAGCCCATTCCAACACCTAACAACCCGTTCTGTAAAGAAATGCTTCCTAATAGCCAGTCTGAACCTTCCCTGGCGCAACTTAAAGCCATTCCCTCTTGTCCTATCGCTTGTTCCTTGGTCAAAGAGACTCATCCCCAGCTCTCTGCACCCTCCTTTCAGGTAGCTGTAGAGGGCAATGAGGTCTCCCCTCAGCCTCCTCTTCTGCAGACTAAACACCCCCAGTTCCCTCAGCCGCTCCTCCTACGACCTGTGCTCCAGACCCTGCACCAGCCTCATTGCCCTTCTCTGGACACGTTTGAGTCATTCAGTGTTCTTTTTTTATAGTGAGGGGCACAAAACTGAACACAGGAATCGAGGTGCAGCCTCACCAGTGCTGAGTCCAGGGGTGAGATCCCTGTCCCTGCTGGCCACGCTATTGCTGACACAAGCCAGGATGCCATTGGCCTTCTTGGCCACCTGGGCACACTGTTGGCTCCTGTTCAGCCGGCTGTCAATCAACACCCCAGGTCCCTCTCTGACTGGCAGCTCTCCAGCCACTCCTCCCCAAGCCTGTAGCGCTGCTGGGGGTTGTTGTGGCCCAAGGGCAGCCCCCGGCATTTGGCCTTATGGAAACTCACACAGTTGGCCTCAGCCCATGGCTCCAGCCTGTCCAGGTCTCTCTGCAGAGCCTCCCCACCCTCGAGCAGATCAACACTCCCACCCAAAAGTTACTATACATTGAAAGCAAAAGTTCAGATAACTTAGCTTGTTTGATTAATTATAACTGTACTAATTGAAAATATAACTGAAGTCACCTGTCAGAAGTTTATAACTGACTGCTCCATGCTATCCACCGAGTTTGAAGAGACAAATTTTTATTCAGCTTGAAAGGTTAGCAAGTAGATTAGACTGCTGGTAATGAGTGAGTTAACAGAATACTGTGGTATGTAAAGCTAATTAATATTTTTAAATATTATGTGTTTTTAATAAGAAACATTAAAAATCAGTGACTCTGTTGGTATTTTACCTGTTTTAGCTTGTCCTCACACTAGAAGTTTCAAGCCTCTAGGTTTTGTCTACATGACATGTCTACACTGAACATGTACACTATATTTCATTGTCTGAAAGCCCAGTTCAGGTCAGGAGATGTACTCACCAAAGTTCCCACATAAACCTTGTCTTTAGGATAGACAAAATTTCCATGCTCATTTGTGGTTTACTGGTAGTAGAGGAGATGTCTTCAGGCATGATATGCCTTTGTTTTCTTTTCCCTTTAATGATTTTGTCCAAGACCTCTAGTTTGGTTGTCATCATGCAACTGTATGGAAGGTCACCAATCTCCTGTTTATAAGCATCTTCATTTTGTTATGATAATTAACAAGAATTAGTTATCGAGAACTTCAATGCTGAAATAGCTACTATGTGGAGGTTATATTTGTTTGTTTGTTCCCTTCTCTCTTGGGAATTGGAGAGCCCTTTTATTTCATCTTAGTTGTTGATAGTTGAGAGGTTTCAGCACTTTTGAAGCTGGATTCCTAGAGTTCAGATTTCTTTAGTATATAAATGATGTGCTAGAGTGCACTCTCATCAAGTTTGCAAATAGCCCCAAACTGGGGAGATCAGTAGATATGCTTCAGAGCAGTCCTGCCATTCAGAGGGACCTTGACAAGCTAAGTAAATGGACTGTCAGGCCTGTTACATGAAACTCAGCAAGGGCAAATGCGAAGTTATGCACATAGAAAGGAGCAACCACTTGCTACAAAGTATGCTGGGACTGCCTGGCTGGAGAGCTGCTTTGCTGAGAAGGCACAAAGGGTCTTGGCAGAGAGTGAGCTGAGAGTGAGCCGGCATGGTGCCCTGCAACTAAGAAGGTCAACAGTATTGTGGGCTGTATTAAGAGCAGCATAGCCAAGAGATTGAGGAAAGTGATTGTCCACCCCTACTTGGCACTCACTGGATTGTGTCCAGCCCCCTGGCTATAATTTTAAGCCCCTAGTGCAAGAGAGATTGGTCTTTCAACAGGGAGTAGGTTCTGTGGAGCACTATCAAGCTCATGAGGGTCAGAAGTACTTGCCCTTTGAGAAGAGACTGAGGAAACTGTGCTTGTTCAGCCTAGAGAAGACATGACTTTGAAGGGGGCCTAGCAGCAGTTTCCATTACGTATTGAGGAGAAGACAAAGCCAGGTGCTTGCTAGTGGTGCATGACAGGAGGCAAAAGTGCAAGAGGCATAAATGGAAACTGGAGTTTCTAATTGGATGTGAGAAACTTCACTGCGATAAGGACAGTAGAACAGAGAGGTTGTACAGTCTCCCTCCTTGGAGGTATGCAAGACCAGACTGAATAAAGTCCTAAGCAACCTTATCTGATGTCATAGCTGAGCCTGCTTTGAGGAGGCCATTTTGCTAAGAGGCTTCCTGAGGTCCCTTCTGACCTGAATTACCCTATGAACCTATGTGCAAGTTGCCTTCATAACACTGATTGAAGCTGGAAGTGTAGTATAGAATGCCCTGGTTATGCCCCTTTTGTCTGTTGAATACCCTTTTTGGTGCAGTGTAGAGAACTGCTGGTGATTCTTCTACCTGAGGACAAGCTTTAGATCTTGATTATGCTTTTTGATTTTTCTTTACCTTTTCAGAATAATCTGTAAGTGGGTAGAACAGCATATACTGTAATATATAGTATAATGTTATACATAAAATTACATAAAATAGTAAAATCTCTGCATATGATAGGTACTCGTGTGTGTAATATGAGTACTCCAGAGTACTCATTTACTTACCCTCTTGCTAAACCACCACCATTTTGTTAACTGTTTACTATCATAGCATATTCATATTATGCTATATTTTTAGTTTAGAGATTTTTTTTCTTAACATTCTAGGTATAAGAGTCCAAGGAGATATAACTCTGGTCCTTTTTATTTTTTTTTTAATTTTTTTTTTTTTAATTTCATGTAGATTGCAAAAGCAGTTTTGGAGATGCGTTCACTCATGCTGTCTTGTGTTGAATTGACTACCCAAAGTTTCATTCTGTAAGACCTGTAGAGCTGTCTGTGTTAAACATGTACTGGTTCATTTTTAGCATGCCGAATCTAATTTCAACATGTCAATTAATGTTTGAACAGCAATAGATGACTTTTCCCAAGGAGACTCAATAAGGTGAGGCTTAAAAAATATTTAATACTTACTTGAGGAATGATTTGTGAGACACAGTACTCATTTTGCTTTACATTTTAAGAAGCTCTGAGAAGGATGGGAGTGATGACAGTTGGCATACTTCTGAGGAAGAAGAACTTGATTTTACCCCCAAGGTATGGTGCATTTACAAGAAAAATGTCTTGTAAAAATAAGTGATTTAAAGGCAGGTTTTCTGTGGGAATGAAAGAAACCGCAGTTCCAACCAATTCTGTTTTCTCCTTAGAAGCAGTCTCTGTCCTGCCAGCCTTTCTTCTGCTCTTAGTTTTTCCTAAAAGACTTGTAGCTGTGACAGAGCATGCAGTAGATTTGTGGTTTGAGGCAAAAGAGCAATAGGTGACAAGACAAATAACCACATTGTTTTGTTTGTTCTTGTTCATTTGAATCAGATTTGCAGACCCTGAAAGTTTGTAATTTACTATTATAACCTGTTCTGTTTTTTTCCAAACACTGTTGTTGTTTCCTGTAAATTTGGTGATAGAATCCCAACTGATAAAGAAAAAGGGCATTCATTTATCAAGATCGACTGAAATCCTTCATCACCTAGTTCTCCTTTCCTCCTCCTCAGGTTCCTCAAGAGTGCTCAGTGGATGAGTTGCTCAAATAGGTTGTCTTTTTTCTTTTATGAGATGACATTCTGTGCTTGTATGTAATCTCACGCTGCATGTTTTCCCTCTTTTTCTGAATGCTGCATTAGTATTCTTTTTGTCAGCTATGAGCTCTTGCATCTACTGGTTTTACTAATGGTATGAAGAATTATTGAATTCTGCAGTGATGTCTGGAGCATCTATTCTGTTGCACTGGGATTCTGCAGTTTTGAGGAACCTGAGTGTGGTAGTTCAATCCACTCTCTAATGCTGGAGGTGTAATCATGTTTAGGTTTAACATGATCTCCTTTTCTTGCACTGATTTAAATAGAAATGATGCATTTTTCTGGCATGACTTTGAAAAGTAGGGATATTTTGGTAAGTGTATTTGCAGGGACTCATTTATGCATTAAGTCTAGGGATCTTAACAGTTATTCACGTTGTGCACATTTGCAAGTAAGCATCTTGAAACTGTGATCTTAAATATAGGTGAATTTTGCTTAAGTGTTACAAATTTTAAAACCAGATTTTTGGAACTATTATGCATGTAGACGTAGTTTTGGAAAAAGTTTTCAGAAGGATGCCTGCACAGAGTTTTGAGGTGAAATACTCACTGAATTGCATATGTGAGGAGTGTTTGTGTGTTTAGAAGTATAGGATGGAGCCAGCACCTGAGCACTATCAAAATGACAGCCTGGGTATATTTACTGTTCAAGATTTGATGTGAACAAAAGATTTGTTGCTGTTGTTATTATTGTTAAAAAAATATAATTTTTTTTTGCTTAAATAAATATTTACAGAAGCTGCAGAAGCCAAACTTGACACTGTTAATGAATGCTTCACAGCAGTTCAGGAAAAAGAGTAAGCTATTTGGAAAAAATTGCATGATATACTGATACATAAAAGTAGAGTTGCTAAATAGTTTTTTTATAATTTTTTTTCCTATAGTAAATAAGAAAAGTAGCATTGTGAAAACACAGCACTTAGTCGTTTCAGAAAAAAAAAAAAAAAGTTATTTCATTAAAATGAAGATAGTAATCCCCTTGTAAGCTTCTATCCCTGCTCAAGTTCTTCCTCTATCCTGCCCATTCCTTACCTGCTTCCTTTTCCAGACATTCCCAGTTGACTTCTCTCCTGTGCATTAATCTGGTAGCATGCCTATTACTATTTACGTAACTCCTTTTGTTTACATGCAATTTTCCTTTTTTTGTACTTTAAGATAATGGTGCTGGTTCTAGAACTGAAAGTCCTAAGTCCCCGAAGAAAAGCCTCAAACAAAGAACCCCATCAGATGCAAATCTGAACAAAGGAGAATGTGAAGAATTGTTGAATCAAGATGTCTCGGATGCAAGCAACCTGGAGGAAGAAGAATCAGAGGAGGAGGAGGAGGATGAAAATGACAGTGGAGATGAGGAGGGAGAGGAAGAGGGAGAGGAAGAGGAGAATGAAGATCTTACTCAAGATGAAAAGGAGGAGGAAGATCTGGAAGATGAAGAAACTCAGTCTAATGACATACTGGAGGAGGAGCAGGGGAAGAAAACAGAACCTAAAGGGGAAATTAATCAGATACTGGAGTATTTTAGTAATGCTAAGTATGAAGGGGAATCTCAGTGTGGAACTGGAGATGTCTGTGATGATAAAATAAGTAAAGAACCTGATGAAAAGGTGGCAGAATCTGTTGATACTCCTGTGTCTTTTATAGCTGGGTGTTATGAAAGGATGCAGGAAAATATAACTGCCGTGTCTCCAAAGATAATGAATAATGAAGTATCTTGCAAGTCAGTACCAAAACAAGCTGTTTTTCAAAATCTAAATAATTTGCAAGGTGAAAGTTGGAACAGGAAAAGCATGATTCAGGAGAAGTTTCACAAAAATGCTGACTCCTGTTTTGCAGACTCTGAAATGACAGGCTGGAAAAAAGAGACACCTCAGCCTTTTGCAGATAGTTGTGGTCTTAAGGAGAAAAAGTCAAGCCTCGGTGATGGCTTTGGAAGTGGTAACAATTCTTGGTCAGCTACAAAAAACTCGAGGCTTGAAAGTCAAAGACCAAACTCTGTTGTTCTTGAACATGTGAGTGATGAAGATACTGAAGAAGAGCAATATGAAGAAGTAGATGATAAAGTCTGTGAAACACTGAAACAAGAATGTGAAAACTTGCGCTTAAATAGACATGAAGAAAATTTAAGGACAGCATCTCACTCAAGCACCAAAGTAAGTATATAGGGATGATTGAGTCACAACATTATTTTCTAAGGGTAATGTAGGTAAGAAACAAATGCTAAACTGGATTTCTATTAATACTTATTCTTCACATATATCCATCTTTTGATCATCCTTTTTTGATATTAGAAAATGTCTGTCTTCTAGCCAAAGCAGTTTCTTAGGCATAAGAATAGCATCAGGCAGTATTTTCAGTATTTTTTTTCTATTAGTTACATTGGTTTTGCAGGAAAAAAAATAGGCATTAGAGGTCTTCTCGAATCAATTAAATTTTTCTCAGTTGTATGTACAGATTTTATCTGTGAAGATTTACTGCCAGTTAGTAAAATTCATGGGGTGATGGCTGAAAGTAGTGTTTCCTCACAATCAAAGAAGTTTGAATAAGATTGAGAGCAGAAAGCTAGTGATTTTTGTTGGAGAAAAGTAGGGGAAAAGAAGAAATGTGTTTCAGAATGATGTAACTTAAATGAAGCTAGACTTAGATTGACATGAGGAAGTACTGCTCAGGGGCTTTGGAGAACCAGAGGTGAGACTTAGAACATTAGGTATTGCTGTCTAATCATACAGATTCCCATGGAAAAACTGAAGGCCATGTAAAACAAAGCTCAAAAAAGTTTCTACTTTTTCTCGTACAAGAAAAGTATTTTTCAAGTTGTCAATAGATAGTGAAGAAAGTGCTTGTTTCCGCTCTTTCCAGCTGTTTTGGTCAATCTCCTTTAGGAAGAATCACCTGAACGGGAAGAGGAGGAGCAGGAGAAGGGAGACACTGGTGAAGACCTACAAACTGTGGTTGTTGAGGGTGTGAAAAACTCTGTTTGTAATGACTGCTATCAAGTCCACAATGCTTCAAAAAACAGTGCTGGTGAGAGAAATGAGTTAGTAAATACTGATCCAAGTTCTTCCTCCATAAATATTAATGCACAGTAAATGAACCAAAATGGTGATTGACTTCCAAGAAGAAATTCTTGCCTTGCCTGTGAACCCTAGTGGGCACTGGCAAAGAGAGCAAGCAGCTTCTGTTCTTTTTCATTTATTCTTGAAGAAGTGCAATTGTGGAATTGGATTCCAAACTATGCTGTATGAAGCAAGTGTCAGTTACCGCTAGAGTTTGGAGAGCCTGTCCCAGCAAGGGGGAAGTCTTATGTGATGCGTCCACCCATAGGTGAGGCTGACAAAGTCCCTGCAAGCGGGTCCAGCCTTATATACTAAAAGTCAGCAAGCCAGAATAACTGGCACTTTTGTTTTGAGCAGAAACATCTGGTTTCAGTCTCACATTAGATTTCCCTGGAGCCTGGCCACGGCTCAAGGAGGAAGCTAAGAGAAACTTATAAAATATACAGGATTCATCTATAGGTCAACTCTGTCTTGGGCTTGTTGTCCAAGCCTTAGCACTTCAATGCCCTACTGATCTCTAGCTCCTTCCTCCTTCTTTGTGTGCATGTCTTCACATGAGTGAATCCTTAATCAGTTTTACCTAATGGAGTAGCTTAAAACAGAGAAATTAATTTAGTCTAATCTGGCCAGGAACCCACCAAGACCAAGCCTTTTGTTCATCTGGTAGAGAAGAGATTTGGATGTTAACCTCCTGAGATAGGAATGGCTTTTGCTGTTTTGAGTGTTTGAGCTGTGAGACTCTACTGCATTTTTAAATGGCAGTGCTTAAGTGTCTAGTTTCTGGGAAGGTGCAGAGTTAACAACTCTGTGCCAAAGAAGATCTTTCCTGGTAGCTCTACAGAAGGAGCATTGTTTCTTGGTGATTTTAGTGATGTTAGCGTGAGGATGTTCTGGATAGTGTTTTTACGGTACCTCCAGTACAGTGGAAGGTGGTAGTAAATGCCAAATTCTGGAGCTGTAGTCTGAAGAGCAGGTGGCCTAAACTCTGTGTACCACAGAACTGCAGCATGCTGGAGTTTCTTCCTGAATGTTACCCAGATGTGTTTGGTGTTGCTTATAGCTGTGTTGGCTGTTGTGCATAGCCATCTCCTTCTGGAAAGGAGGCAAGAGGAGGCGAATGTAAAGGAATGAATATGGTGTGGCTGAGTGTGAAGAAACACTTGAATAACACTACTTAGTTTGTCCTCAGGAATCAAATCACTGTGCATCTTTTGCATGCAGGGCTTGATTAATGGGGAAAAAGCAGAGTGAAATATAAACACTCGGTGTCTCACTTCTTACCTTGTTTGTAGGTGTCCTACCAGCATTGGGAGCAGAGGAAGGGGACGATGCTGAATCTCCCTGGGATTCTGAGGTACCTTCTGTGAAGGACACAGGGGAGCATGGCACAAGTAGGAGTAAGATCCAAAATCAATAGAGAGCTCACTTTAGACTTGTGCCCTACAGTTGAAGCTTGCTTACTCTTTTCATGCTTCTGACATGTTTGTAACTGGGGGCCCTTGAAATAATTCAGCTCTAGGCTAATTGTTCAATTGGAACTGGGATGAAGTTAGGCCAAGCTATCGACTTGGGTCTCATAATAACTGGTCATTAAGTTTTGTTTCTAATAAAGTATTGAAGCTGTTAAGTTTTTTGCTGCTTAAAATACTTGGAGCTTTTCACAGAGGGTGGCAGTGTTGTTGCATTTTCACCATACAGCTGTATTCTGCTGACCTGGTCAGTGGTTGCCCTTAGGGTCTACAACCTAGATGGTTCACTGCTTCTGAATAGATCCTCTCCACCTTTTGTAGGTGTACTTTGGCCATTTTTGAAAGTCATTTGTTATAAGTAGAGATACCACACATGCTGGCTGTGTTTGCCCTTTTTAGTTCTGTCTGTAGTAATGGGCCAGAAGAAAATGAGCAGGGTCTGTAGCTAACCCCCTCTTGTTTTTTCTTGTGAGGAAAAACAAACTCTTCCCCACCCTCTTCTTAAGAATTTGAGAATAAAATACTAGGATTTTTTTAGATAGCCTTAGTTTCTGTAAGTTTTGCCTTGCTAGTCTTTGTTCAAACCAAATAAGCCCTGTGATTGGGAGTAGTGATGTGTTCACTCACCACTGCAGGATACATGCCTAGAGAACACAAGCACAAACTTGAATGTCAAGTACTAGTTCAACACAGAAGTTGGATTGTCACAAACCTGCAGTTACTGGTTCACAATCTGCATCTTGAGTTACTATGTTAATTCTCTCTTGTGGATGTCTAGTTTGTCAAGGTTTATCAGCGTGGCAGAATAGTTTAGATGAATTGTGAGGTTTCTGCCTAAGATCTAAAAGCACACACAACTGTGATTTTCCGATATACTATGTCTTATATCTCTAATATACTTGATACCATGCTATGCATGTTGGCTTAGCAGGAACTTTTTGCATAGAAATTAGACAAAAATATATTTGTACCAATTCTCATGCATGTGTTTTAGATTATACAGACGGATTCTGAAAGTCTAAGAAAAGCATCGTCCGGTGTGTTGCTTCCAGCTGCAGACAGATGTGGAGCACGCTCACAGATTGTTTCAGGGGAACACGACAATGGTAACTTCCTGGTGAACTAAATGTTTGTCAGTAAGCATTTATAGGCTAAAGGGAATTTATATCAGCATCTGTCTTAGGAATGCTGTTATGTGGGTGTACACTGTAGCAATAAAGTGCTTAGTATTTGTTAACTAACAGTAGTTATCACAGCACTTGCTAGCCAGTTTGTAAAGGAAGTTGTTTTGTTTACATTATGTGTGTCCTTTGGATGTGTGTGTATTTTTTTGGATTTGGGTTCTTGTTGCATAGTGGTGAAAGTGTATGTGGTTTAGGACTGACTTGTCTGAACATTTAATCATTCTTGGATGATAACGTAGCAGAAGGAAAGCTATAATCTGGCTAAGCATTTTTTTCTCCTAGCTTAATTTTTTTTATATCTTTCTGTTGTGCTTTGCCTAGGAACTAAAATAAGACTAAAAGTTCAGGTTTTCTTGCTAACGGTTTCTGCCTGTAGTTTGTGACACTGTCTCTTGGGCGTAGGATGACAGGGAAGTTTTGCTGGTGGGGTAGAACTCTTTTCTGAAGGATTTCTCCTTTAACAAATGGTTTGTAGTCCTGCTTGTAGTATAGGTACAATAGAATAGCTGAAGAAGCTAATCCAGTTTTAGATTAGTAAAATGGAAGCAAAACTTTACAAACTCTTTGGATCTTGTAAATATACTTGTTTAGTAGCTTTCATGGAAGTCTGCTTTGTATGATTCTACAAGAAATTTTAAAATGTGTGAAAGGTGTTTATGGTAATCATTCTAAGGTATTTCCATATTGCTAGACCACCAAGTTTATTGAAATAAATTTTGCTGTGGAGCCATTTTTAGTAACCATTTGTCGTCATCTTTCATGAGAGGACTCAAACTGTAAGATGACTCAAGCAGAAGATTTGAGAAATCTAAGCAGGCCAGTAGATTGTGTGGGATTGGAAATGATTTATGTTAGACAAAAATTTAAAAAAAAAAAAAAAAAAAAAAAAAAGTATTTGGAACTATGCTATATATGCAGATTACAACCAAACAACATTTGTTTCTTTTGTTTCCTTGCAAGCTAAACCAAAATAATCTAATGAGAACTAGCTTGATTTTTACTTCATTGAGTAAGATGCGTATGAGTTTTCTGTGTCTGCACCTGTGCTTTCCATCCCATCAATAGAAAGGAAAATAACATTAAACATTTGTAGGATTATCAGAGTCATAGTGATGTTGGACTGCTTTATGATCATTCACTACAGCAGACCAGCTTTTGCTTTTGAAATAATCCTTTTAGAAAGAAGGATTTAGCTCTTCAGAAGGACTAAGTATTTTGATCTTGTTCTGTTAACAAGCATGACCTTACTGCTTCACACAAATTGTCATAGTTCTATGATGATTATTTTTTAAAGCCAAGGTGCACAATGGGAACTGTGTATTGTCCATTTCTTGTATACTAATACAAATGCTGTATGATGAGGTAAATTGAATGGTAGTTACCATACTCTTGATGAAATAATGCTTGCAACTAATAGTTGTAGAAACTACTGATGTTGGAGTAAAAGATATCTTCAGTTAAATAAAATAACACTTTCCAAAACATTTTTTTCTCCAGGCTTTTCAGAAAAACCCAACAGTTCCCAGGTAAGTATTTGTTCATGTCAGACTAACTACTTGTTCTGCTCATTAAATAGTATGTAGTTACTTTTGAATTTGTTTTTTTATCATTGAATTTTCTTTCATAGCTGAAGACTCCTGAATCTGTTTTGGAAATGAATGAAACCTCTCCTAAAAAAAGGCAGCAGAAATCAGGTAATGTTCACTTCATGTATTTCTGGGTTTAGCTTCATAATCTTTCTGGATAGGAGTATTTAATAAAGCATCTGATTCATTTGTTTTACAGATCTATTGGAGGAATTTGGTGTAGGAGATACAGAGGATATTGAAGGTATTCATAACAGCCTCTTTGTAGTGTTCTTTTTATGGATAAACACGTTGTGCTTCCAAATTTTTTCCTAATAATAAATTGATGGTTCTAGTAAGGTGTTCTGGGAGCAAAAGGTCTACTGAAATGTCCCTCTCTATGCATGTGTGTGCTTCCTCTTCTAGTCTGCCATACAACACTAACTACCTTTCCATGATGTAGGCTTTCTCCACCATACCTGCCATCATCTCCCCTTTTCAGGCATCCCTGAAGTTTGCTTTCCTTCCCATTTCTCAGAAAAACCCTTCCTGATATTCCTCGTTCTCTGAGCATGTGCTGTGGCTGATTCCAGGCTAGGGTTCTGCAAGCTAAGCTGTCCAGGAGCTGCAGGTGAGATAGGGTGATTTTTGAGCTTGTGCTGTAGCTGTACTTAGAAGGAATTATTACTTGCCTGGCCTTTCTCTACCTGTCTGGCAGTTGTTTTGAAACAAGTACCAAATACATTCCTCTGAGGATCCCCCCTCTTACTTTGTGGAAACTGACCAGCAGGTTTAGAGGTAGGGGAAGGAAGTGGGGAAGAGAGACAAGGTGGGAGGGAATGACAGTGTCAGCATGTTGTCAGGAATTCTTTTTTCTTTGGAAACAAGGCTAAAAGTGAAGCCACTAGCTGGTCCACTATATATTGGAGAGAGGATATATGACAATTTTTTTTAGTTCCTTTGTTCTAATGTTTATTGATTTGCCTATTTGTTAATGAGATGAGAAGCAATTCCCCAATCAAGTTTTAGAGTTTATACAATCAACTACTGAAAATACAAACCAGAGACAAGTGATCATACATAGGCAAGTGAGTATTAGATATGTAGGCAAGTATAGAATACAAATAGCTCCAGGTAATTCGGCATCCTTGTTTTAGGGGGGGAAAAAAAGTACTCTTGTTCTTCTGACAGTAATAGTGATTAAATTTCTCTCTAGGAAAAAATATCTCTTTCCTCCTCTCGCTCGTCTCCTTCTCCTCCTCCTCCTCTCTCTCGTCTCCTTCTCCTCCTCCTCCTCTCTCTCGTCTCCTTCTCCTCCTCCTCCTCTCTCTCGTCATCTTCTCCTCCTCTTCCTCTCACTCCTCTCCTCTCTTGTGTATTTGCAGTGGGTAAGTGATAATAGATCCTCTTTTACCCTTTATTTTGTGATGGTAGTGTTTTTGTAAGATGCATAGAGGTTTTTAAAAGTTGCTTGGTTAAAACATGAGTTTTGGTTTTATTAGTGTCATACAGTAATGTGTAGACCCATAGTGGACCAGTATGTTACAATATTACAAACACAGAAAGGAAAGACTGCTTTTTCATAGCTGATTTCATATCAGCTATTTTTCCTGTGTGCTTGTATTGATTTGTGTCATGTTAGGTTTTATCTATGTGTTATCTTGAAGATCAGATGTTAATAAGTACATGTGAAAATTTCTTTCAGACTTTTATGTTTGGATTTGGGTTTAAGAAATTTAGGTTGCTTCAGCAAAGCATTGTGATGCCTGCAGTACAAATATTTCTAACTCTGAAAGGGTTGAATGCCATCCTTCACAAGTTTATTTCATAAATCTAGAAGACAGGAACGGTATCTTGCCCAATTAAACGTTGAATTGGAGATTAAATTTCCCATTCTTTTTACTTTGTTATGGACTCATAGTAATAACTTCTTAAAATCTGTTTTTTAGGTCAAAATTAAGTAGTGGTGTTCTCATGTTTTCTGTACAGAAGATTAGCTGCTTTGCACAATAATCTGCAAAAAGTCTATATGTAAGACAATTTATGAGGAGGGAAGTTTTGGAAGAGAGAGGAGAGGTAAAGGCTAATTGGAAAGAACACTAAAAGTCATCTTTTGATGCCAGCTAGAGAACTGGCAGAGTAAAAGGTGGGGGATTAGCATCTTTTGCATGCGCAGGGATTTCTGTGTATTTATATATTAGGCACAAAGTCAGATTCGTCTAACACCACTGCAGGTATCCATTAATAAAAATACATGCTAGTAATAACTGTGGCAAAAATACTGGAATTTAATTTACTCTTGAATTTTTTTATATACATTTAATTTAAATGGCAGGCTCTTCAGAAGCTCCAGACTAGGGTTTTGTCAGTGTTTTAACTAAAAAATTTTCCCTGTGCTGAAAGTGAAAAAGTCTTGATGATAAGGATCATCCCTCTTTCACAAAGCTAAGAGAAGCCAATAATACAGAAAATAGACTTATGAATTACTGCTCCAAGAAGAGAAGAAACTTTACTTACAACACCTAATGGAGAAGTCCTTATTTTTTTACCTTATGGTTTTGACTAGAATTTCAGACACTGTAAGAACTGGAATTTTGCAGATGGAAGAACATTGCTGCCTTTCATTTCTCTTGGCCTTTTTCCCTGTTCTGTGCCCATTGTACACAAATGTCAAGATTAATTAAACTGTACAGAAAAGAAACCTTATGGGCTCCAAAATTCCTAAAATCTTATCTAAAGGCTGAGACTTCACACTCGAGTAGCTGCTACTGAAGGCTGTATTGCTTACCATGGTGGGCAAGACTTATCAGTAGTTCAGGTTGCTTTTCATTATAGCAGTATGGCACCTAATTTTAAAGTGTCTGGACTCTGAAACAGAACCAAAATATTAAGACACCTACATACTCTTAACAGAGAATGTAAATTGCATGTTTAGAAGGCCAGTACAAAACTCTGGGTGCTGTCAGGTCTGCTTTTATCCAGCTTTCAGACACATGCAGTTGACCAGAAAAGCCTATTCAGTCTGCGTTGTGCAATATTCTTCAGGAAAGGTGTCACAGCTCTCCAGCTGTCAGATACACAAAATAGTCTTATCTTTTAAGGAAAACTGTGGTGCCCATGTTACATGGTGGGAGTGATCACATATATCAAGTTGTATGGTAGGAAGCTGCATGTGTGGTTGCAGTTTGACCTGAATGAATATTGATGAAGTGACAGAAGAAATCTGGTAAGCATACTTTATGGAAATGGTGTAGGAGCTGTCCCATCTGTCTGAGGGGTTGACCACCCCGTGCTGTACTTGGGGTGGAGAGTCTTCTAGCAATAGTAGAAACTCCAAGCACACTGATGTGTCTAGACTCTTCTCACTCTAGGCAGTACTGTTACTGCCCAGAAGGCTTATGTGCAAATTATCAGCATACTGGCTGCCTGTCTGTGCCTAGTGAGTTCTTCTGTTTTGTTAAAGAATCCTACAAATCAGTGTAACGTCTGTGCGGTTACTTGTCTTGGATTTAATCAGGCTCCAATGCTTCTGGCCACTATGTCCAGTTGGCAGTTCCAGAACTGTACAGCCAGCAGGGGAGGGACTTGCTGGTGCAAATTATCCAGCCATATGACAATTCTAGTAAGAAGGACAAGAACCCATCTACAAAAACTGTGCACAACTGTTGGAGGAAAGGAAGATGTTGATCTTCAAATTTTGTTATTTGTATAGGAGGTTATTTGTATAGGAGCGAAGTGTTACCTGTTCCAGGCATCTTGGTATTGATTATATGACACTCTCTACAAATGTTCTTTGACCACCAGCACATCTGTTCTCTATTTCTAATGCTGGTTGCAGCTTGCATCTGCACCAGCAGACAGCTTGGTATTAGGATATCTACAAGCATCAGTAAAGTCTAAGTCTACTCTGTGATCTTGAAAAACAAGTAAAAGGGAAAAATGCCTAGTTTTCTTACAGAGTATTATCCTTAGATAATCATTAATTATTGTTATTTCTATGTATAATGTCTGAAATGTGTCATGATCATCATAACCCTGTGAAATAAGTGCTGTCAACCCACTAATGACTAATGTGTGTTGGGAAATGCCTTGTGCTGAAATACCCCAAAAACAAATTTACAAAAAATTTTAAAAATTTTACCCACCAGTGATTGAAGTGGGAGAAATTTGTTATTTTATTTCACACTCTGTAACAAGGTTAAACGACCTCTGGAGACCTGTATGACTGACTGAGAAGCTTAGCCCAGTTCAGATGTACAAGTTGTAACTCTAAGCTTGTATCTAATATAATCCCCTTCAAGAAGTGAAAGCTTGCAATAGGAGCTACCTAAATCAGAAAATGCCAGAAATTAGGTTGGCCCTGTGACATTATTATTTGACTCTTTTGTATTTTTATGATGATACCTATTTTCTTCCTGTCTTGCTCACTTTTTCTTGTAGGAATAATATTGTGTACCTCTTTAGCCTTTTTTTTGTGTATAGAAAGAGAATTGTATAGAAACCATAGAATTATGGAGCAGGAAAGGAGGTGCAGAGTGATGAATGTGAAAAGCCTCCATCTCTCTTTTTAGATGACACACCTGAGCTGCTGGGACTTGTTTCTTTTTGAATACTTAATACTTCAGGGTGTTCAGTATGCCCTCCACACAAACTATGACAATGAGTTGCTGCTTCTAAGTTGTATCTGGGACTATCTGGAGTCCAATTCTCAGATGTAACAGAGATTCAAGGTAGGCACCCCATAATGGGGAGCCCAGACTGAGTGGCTGCTTCTGAGGAATTTGTGACCTGTCCAATATGACTTAGAAATTCTGAGAGAGGAAAGGGTGGAATCTAGTTTTTGACAGTACAAACTGAAATGTCCAGATCATGAGCTATTTCTCAACATTCCACAAGCCTGTCTCATTCAGTGACCCCTCCGTGTCTTTTGCAACAGATGAAGCAGCAGTTTGACTGAAATACTCCATCCAGATCCACGTCTAGAGACAGATTTGTTTCATGCATGTATTAAAGCTGAGACCTTGAAAGATTTCAAGCCTGTGATTTTGTTGTTCATGATTTTTTGTGCACAGCACATAAGGAAATTAAAATTGCTGGAGCATTGTAGCTAGTTACTGCATGGCACACAGTGTCTCAGAGAAAGAGAGGTTGCACACCTTTAAGAAATGGGAATGTTTTATTTGTGACCATTTATAGTAACTTTCAGAAAATTTCCTTTGTACGTTAAAAAGTAAAATGCTCTGTAAGAAAGGAATTCACACAGATGCATCTTAAATCTGTATTATGATAATTTTCTCCCTAGGAGCTCACAAATGTGAGGGGATGTGTTATTTTGTGTTAAGTTTTTGTCACAAATATGATTCAAGATGCAGTTTACTTGTAAATAAGTGAATTAAGTCATGCTGGTTATAAAACGTGCTTTTCACTGTAGGTGAATATTCAGGATCTACCTTTCATATGTCGTCATCAGCTGAAAAAGAAGACATCAAGGATGGCATTGAAAACTGTGGGGTGCAGGTACGTAATCCCAAATATTTTAAATTAGTCTGAATTGGTAAAATGCACATTCAAGTGAAGAGGCAGATTTGTCTGTAGTATGCTGATCTGTTTGATTAAACATGCCTGGTCTTGCTCTTTGTAAGAGAAAGATCAAACAAAAACCCCTGAAGTTTAGAGTGACCTTTCTGATGCTTTCCCTTCCTCTGCAAAATATGTGCTTGTTTGGCCATGTTAATCAGTGTTTGAAAAGATGGTTTTTTTTTTTTCCGGAGGGTGTTCTAGAGGGGAATAAGGCAGCCATCATGTTTGTGTTGGGCACACAGGACAGGGCTGGATAGAGGGGTCTGGAGTCTTCCGTAGCACCTCATCACAAATTATTTCCACCTAACACCCAATCACCATGAAAGAGGGACAGGCTTAATTTTAACAGACAGAGCACAGAACATAAGCCTATTGGAAGGTGGTAGTAGTTGGGCAATGAACTTGGGAATGGAGAGGCCGAGACAGATGGTGGCTGATTGATGTGATTCTTCCCTGTTCTGAAAGGAGAGATTTTTGCAGAGGGAGAAAAGGGCTTGGCTAATGAGAAAGGATTGCGAGGAGTTGGGTTGTCATAGCCCCCTGGGACACCAAGGCTGCAGTCCCTATTTAGAAGGGACCATGAGCTGAGGGAGCATGTTGGGAGGAGTGTGACACGTGACAGTAGCAGTCAGAACTGTTGTGGAACAGAGCTTGGGATCAGGGACATGAGGAGAGTGGATGCAGTTGAGGCATGGTACAGTTTTCGTATGAGCCTGGGCTCCTGATTTTTTGGGGATAGGGGAAGGAATGGGCAGGTTTCCCTAATAAGTGCTTTTCTTCAGAGCTTGGAGTGGAATTTAATATTTCTGAGTCTTGGGTGAAGAAATAATCCTAACATGGCCAGTTCTCCTTGTGTTGGACAGTAAAAGCTTGTCACGTTCATTCACATTGTATTAGCTCAGCTGGCAGTGGACTGTAAAATGCCTGACAGCAGAGAATGGTGGAAGAAGGAGAGTGAAAAAATGTAGACAGTTTTAATGAAAAAAGGTATTAAAGCAATAAAATATGAAAAAATAAATAGCTTTGTGACAAATGCCACTAGTTGCAGAAAGCAGGCAGGCTAAAAGGTAAAAGCAACCTTAATGTTCAGACAAATATAATCCAAGAAAAACTTCTTCCTTAAGTAGGTCCTTCTGTTTTTAAGAAAATGATTCAGTGAACCTTTAATTTAATATCCCTTGATTTTTTATTATAAACAATTGCTTTCAAAATGTCTTATTTCTATTATTTCTGTTACATGATAAAATGAGTTTGCAACAGAAACTACCTAGATTAACTGTAACTTCCTTTTTCTTGGTAAACTTTCTGTACCTGTTCACTTAAGGATAAATATATTTTAGAAACTACCAACTTGATAGAAAAAACAGCACATGAAAATCAGAGTGACAAAGCAGAAATTTCACATCAGGAAGCCCTAGCAGTAAACAAGGAATCACACAGTGCTGACAAGCAGTTAAGCCCAAAACCTTGGGAAGAAAGATATGAAAGAATGTGGGTTGAAAATGAGAAAAGGGAATTGAAAACAAACTTTAAAAACATTACAGCAGAGCTGAAGCAGCTGTTTGGTGAAATTCATGAAACTGGGGAAACTACTTTCTTTGTGGAAGAAATGTCAAAAGATGGCTTCAGTGAAGAATTGAAGAGTTCTCGTGTTGTATCATCGTGTGCGACTGAATCAAGTAATAAGTTGGAAACTAGAGGTGATTTTGAAGATACTAAACTTATGCTAGGTGGAAAAGAACCCAAAATGAAAATTGTAGTTCAAAGTCTTGGTGTCTTTCCTGATCAAAATAACTTAAATGCAAACATGGAAGATACCTGGTGTACACATGAAGAAGATAGCACAGATGATACAGATAATACCAAGATGCCATTAGCAAAAGGAGAGGAAAAGAAAATGCCTACTATGGAAATGGAAGAGAATGAAAATGGAATTATTAGAAATGGAGAGGGAAGTCCTGAATATTCCCCAAGACATAGCTTAAAAACAAGTATTTTGAATGATGTTTCTAATACTCTTCCTAAAGTAAGACCTGTTTATACAAGTGATGAAAATGCACGTTTTGTAACAGAAAGAAAACTTGGAAAAGACTCTGGATTTAATGGTGGTGTTCCCAGGGACTGCCTTATAGACAATAATAAAATAGGAGAAACAGAAATTGACAGTCTTTTTGCAAATGCTCAGCAATCGTGTGGCATGCTGAAAAGGAATCTCGATGAAGAACTAAGACAAGATATGGAAAGATTTAAAAGTAAGGTAGGAATGCTGCAAATAACATTCCTGGCTTTGGAGAAAGAGAAGGTACAGCTGCAAAAAGAGGTAGAAGTTCACCTGCTACTCCTTATTCTTTAGTCTTTCCCCATATCAATGGTCCTGTTCACTGTAGCTATTCATCATTAAGGGAAGATGCTTTGTGCAAATTGGTTTTTGTTTTATTGGAAATCCATTACTTATGAATAAAGAGAGCGGTGGAGTCTTGTCCTTTCCCCATTATGTAATTAGTTTTTTTGAAAACAGAATGCATTATTGTTCCAGTTTAACAATAGGTGGTACTCAGTTCCAGTGTAAGTAGTTATCAGTTCATTGCCATAAAATAACGCACACACAATTACATCAGTTCTGATTCTGAATCAAAGAATGAAAATAGCTTCTGAACAGGGTCTTGACTAATTATCCATTTGCTGTGATTTCTGCATGGTGTGTCTTCATTGCCCTTCAGTAAAATTCCTGTTTGCTGTGAAACCATTTCTGCCTGTGGGTTTGGGATCTTCCTACTGACACCCCCACCACCTACACCCCCCCATTAAGGAAGCAATAACCCAGCACACTTCTACTTGATTTTTATTTTTCTGTTTTTACAACTAACATTGTGCAGTCCTAACTCTTTGTCCATCAGTAATGCTGTCACTTTTTTGTTGTTCATGTTCTAAGATACATTATTGTCTTCTTTCTAAGGGCAGTGGTTTTGTTACATCTTTAATCATGAGTGAATTCAAAGTACTTTCAATGGCTTGATACACTTTGTAGTGTAATTTTGTGGAAATGCTTCTCTGTATGGTGTTTTTTTTTTCCCCATGGTTTCAGAAGTAAACCCTGAATTATTCGATCTTGGATATGGTGTTTCTCTCTTCTATAAAGACTGAGAAATAGATGAAGCTTAACTTTTCTTTTTGTAGGTTGAGAATGAAAGAGGCAAGCAAAGGTGTTCCAAAATGCAGGTGGTGGCAAAACAGGAAGATCTTGATAAATTACACACACCGGCAGGCAACGTTACTGATCAGCAAATGAAACAAAGGTTTACCCTAAAGAATGACTGTTTGAAAGTAGAGAATGAAAACACTATAGAAGAAAAAGACAAGAATAATTTTTTATCTGAGGAGAGATCAACATTGATTAAGTTGCCGATGAAAGGGTAAACTTAAGGAAATTATTTCTTATTTGTAGTACTACTTAAGTATCTTTCAGGTTTTCTGATATTGTAGTAGTTGCAGTAGTTTCCTACATGCTGAAAGCCATACTGTGAGTAGTCCACTGCTTCTCAAAGATTTAAGAAAAAGAATTTTTTTTAGAAAAAAATAAGCTTATAATGGAGGTTAAAATTTATTGCCCACGTTTTTTTTTTTAAAAAAAAAGGAGGGGGGGTGGAACGGGACAGGACCGACACGGATGACGACACAGAAACCAAATCTCTGTGGATCTCCTCGTCCATACCAAGGCAAAATGCATCTTTAGAACCAAAGTTGAAGACTGCAAAACCCAGCTATTTTTATAGGAAATGGCCATTTAGAAAAGTAGAAACTTGCAGTTTACTCTGTTTCCTCCCTTTTCTAGGTTATTTTAGTAATTTCCATGCAGTTGGTGTTTTCCTTAAGTTCAGATTCTCTTTGTCAGGAAAAAGGGAAAGGTGATACTACCGAAACAGTCTCAGAAGTTTGAAGAAGGCAGATATTTTTCTGTAACCCTAAGCAGGAGTTTTTCCCTGTCTCCTTCAGGGAAATCTCTGCTTTAGGTATTTCCTCTGATGGGGATATTGGATGTGTTCCAGTTTACCTCAATCTACCTCAGATTCCATGTTCCCCCCCCCAGTTCCTAGGGGAAGGTTTTTAAATACTTGGGTATCTTCCATGATCTTTGAAGTTGAGTCTGTGTTTTGTAATAGATATTTTTTGTCTGTTGTTTCTGGACATCATCTTAAGTATGTATGTTTCACAGAAATATTTCATGTAAAGCTACTCAATTGATGGTCTGGGTTGTTTTTTGTTTTTTTCCTTTCTGTTTAATGTAGTAAATTTGCACTGAATGGCAAAATTCCAAAGAAAAATAAAAGACAGACTTCAAAGCAAAATGCTAATCAGCAGATGAGCTCTTCTAGTGGCAATAATTTTCAAGTACTGGATGATGGCACTTTAAGTGAAACATCTCAAGATGAAGGAAGGTACTGAATATAAGGAATGTTATAAATAAAATTTACTTAATAATAAAAATTGATCTCAAGGCTAAAGGTAAGTTTTGTATACCTGATGTGTATAATGATTCTTATTCTTTCATGTGAAAATACTACCTTTGTGTTCAAACCACTTTATTTTTGCTTAGATTTCTCTGAACATACTGGCAAAGTTAATGTTAAGGTCAGATATGCACAAATTCTGAATTACCAGAGTGTGTGCATGCATGTAAATACATAAATTTTTTAAAAAGGGAGAGGAAAAACTTTATGAAAGGGCAAAATTACTCTTTCACTGAAGGCATCTCAGTTTTTTTCTGCTTGCTTTCCACACACCGCCCCTCCCACCCCACCGCCCCCCAGTTCTGTCCCCTCCCAAGTTCTTGTCCAACCTGTATATACTTGTATAAGCACTGTTCAGCAACAACTAAAACATTGATGTGTTATCAATGCCGTTTTGGTCAGAAATCTAACACACAGCACCCTGTGGGCTGCTGTGAAGAAAGGTAACTCCATCCTAACCAGATACAGTATACTAGAGAATTCAAAAGTATGGTTCTTTGATTTTTGAGAGAAGGATTGTCTATACTGAAGAAGGCTAAAACTCTATTATTAAACAGGGAATGCACATAATTGTATATCTGTATATCCACATAACTGTCACTGTAAGATTCCTATCATTTTGAGTCAAGCGCAGAGAATGGTTATTTCAACTATTTGCTTAATATCTTGTGGAAAAAGCAGCTTTCCAATAGACATATTAGTACATACATTTTTTTTTTTCAGTTTTCAACTATACCTTACAATTGTTTTATTAAATTTTAGTTTAATTCATTTCTGAAATTAAGTTTTCAGATCAACTTTAGATGTTGTTCATAATGCAATATAAGCATTCCAGTACTGAAATATATTTCTGTTTTCCAGACCTGCAACAAAAACAGGCAGTGAAAAGAAAAAGGTACTGTAAAATTTGTTTCTTAATAATCACTTAGATGGGAATAGCATTTATGTAGTGATAAACCAGATGCACAAATTGATGTTAGTATGCAACTTCATCATATTTGAGCCAAATCTGTTGGCTGTGACTGAGAGAATGAATCATTCGTGCATTTGTAATGATCTGTAATACTGTGTAGTTTTATATAGGAAATACTCCATTGTTTGTAGGTCAGCATACAGATGGATGTAACTGATGACCTTGACTTAACTCAGTCATCTGACACAACTTCAGAGGATGTTGAATTGCCAACTTCAACCTACAAAGAGGCTATGTTGCTATTAGAACAGCTTAGTGTGGATCATACAGGTGAGTTTTCAAGTCACTTTGACTTCAGCTGTTATAAGTTCTTTTAAAACATGATTTCTTTGTGTGTACTCCTAGCTATTTTAGTTTTCTATTTTGATCTAATATTTCTTTATGATCAGAGATCTCCCTCAAGATGTAAAATTCATCTCACCTAACATCAGATGTCCATCTGTATTCTCAGCAAACGTGCTTTACTTTATCATTGGTTCTCTGTCTAGTCAGAGCTGGAGAAGTAGGTTCTTGCAAAGTACAGTTCAGCTCCTTCTAATGTAGTCATCAAAAGTTAGTAAGATAGATCTTCTTTTTCCTCTTTATATCCCCTCAATAGGTAATGACAAATACTGCAGCAGAATAAGAGCTTTGCTTAAAAATAGATAGATGATCAACTGTCATAAGATGCTCCATAGAGGCACATAACATTATATAAACATACTTACTATGTATATTAAACTATGCTAAAATTTCATTAGGCAAATGTGTGTTAACCTGGACTAAGGCCAAGCTCCCACCCAGCTGCCCTGTCACTGCCCCTCCTCAACAGGACAAAATAGGATGAAAAAGCTTGAGGATCAATATAAAAATAGAGCTGTCACTTACCAGTTACTGCAAAACAGACTCCACTTGAGGAACCTTAACTTAATTTGTTACCAGTTAAAATAGATTTGGATACTGAGAAACAAAGACAAAAAACGAAAAGAACACTTCCCACCACCCCGATCCCAGGCTCAACTTTACTTCTGACTTCCCAAACAGCACAGGGAGGATGGGGTCTGCCGTCGGGACACAGCAGTTTCTCTCTGCCATTCCTTCTCACACCTTTCCTCTGCTCCAGCTTGAGTTCTTCCATGGGCTGCAGTCCTTCAGTGAAAATCTGCTCCAGCCTTGCATCTCTGTGGGTCAGAGATCCTTCAGGAAATATCCACCTGCTCTGGCATGGGGTCCTCCACAGCACTGCATTGTGGATATCTGCTCTGGCATGGTCCTCTGCAGGGGCTGCAGGGAAATACCTGTTTCACTGTGGCGTCTCCATGGGCTGCAGGGGAATCTCTGCTCTAGTACCTGGAGCATCTCTTTCCCCTCCTTCTTCACTAACCATGATGTTCGCAGGGCTGTTTCTCACACTTTTCTCCCCTCCTCCTCTCTTCTTCTTTTGCACTTTTTTCCAAATAGTTTTCCCTGAGGTGCTGCCAGTGTGGCTGAGAGGCTCAGCTCTACTCTGCAGTGGGTCCATTAGAACTGGCTGTGTCTGTCACAGGGCAGCCCTGGCTTCTTCTCACACAGACCTCCCCACTACCTGCAGTCTTCCCACTATCAGTACCTCAAGCATTAAATAATTTGTACATTGGAAAGTGTTTGTGCCTATATGTAGCTTTGTGTCTTTTCTATTTCAAAATAGGCTCTGCTATTTTGTTGAAAATTCAAAACATACTTCTTGAATATGAACAGATAATAGAACATGAGAAAAATCGGTATACAGCTCTCTGGAAAGAAGTAAGAAAATTGGAAAGTGAAAAGGAAGAGTCACAGTTAATAGCGGAAGAGACTCAGGATTTGAAATCCGTATTGGCTCACCAAGAAGTGGAATGGAAAAGTGATATTCAAAGCCTTAAGTATGTAACCTTGCATTCTGGTAATGCACATTATCCTGTAGGTGTTCATGCTGCAGAAGATGTTGATGGTACTGGTGGTAGGATAAGTTTCTAGACTTTTGGGTTTTTTGAATCCCATAGGCAGGCCATGCTCTAAAGGCCATAATGTCAAAGGGGGAAAAAATATGCCTCCATACTAGCTCTGTAGATTTCAGTTTAACTCCCTTTTTTCAATACTAAGAGAAGAGAACAAAGAGTAGGTATGGGGAAAATAAGATTTATAAGAATCCATAAGATTTGGATTTTGTGGATTTTGTCTTTGCAGCTTCTGTATAATATTAGGAATCCTGGTAACTCGCACTGAATGCAACTCAAAACAGAGCTTAGAGTGTTTGTTTGTTTGATTGTTTGTCTCTTTGAAAGTCAAATTTCAGATTGCCTCTTTCCCCATACTCCTGAGCTAAATCTGGATTGTGTGAGGTTTTTTATTCACTTTTCACATCACTTCAGACAAGAATGGCCAGCAGGCACCAAAAGAAACTCAGCAAGAATAAATGCAAAGCCCTGCACTTGGAAAGGAGGATTCCTTGAAATTATGTACCATGGGATGTTCTGGCTTGGGGAGCTTGCCAAGAAGGCCTTGGTGTCTTAGCAGAGAGCAAGCTCAACGTGAGCCAGCATTGTAGCTGAAAAGGCCAATAGCATTCTGGTCTGTATTAAGAGCAGCAAAACCAGGAGTTTGAGGGGTATGATTGTCTGCCCCTACTCAGGACTTGCTGAACTGTGTCTAGAGCACTGAGTCCAATTTTTGGCCTCCCAGTACAAGAGAGATCTTATTCGGTATGTATGAGTTCAGCAGAGAGCTACCAAGCTGGTCAGGGAACAGGAGCACTAGCCCTGTGAGGAGAGGCTGAGGGAACTGAGCTTTAAGGAATCATGCTTTCTGGTATGTGGAAGTAGATTATGAGGAAGACAAAGCCAGTCACAACTTGGCCTGGATTTGACTCCAACTGTTTTCCACAATTCTCAAATATCTATCGATTACAAAGAATTAATATTTTCATTCTAAATAAGTTCTCAAAGCAATATTACCTTTACACTTATAAGAGCTATACTTCTTGTGAAATCACACAAAAAAAATATATGTAAAGCTTTTTCCTTGCAATATAAACCATTAAAATACAAATGTTAGTGTCAGACTTTTGAATAATTTATTAGTGGTTGCTGATACTTGTTTTGCAAAATTTCAAAAGCAAATGTTCAACTGGCAGTTCTTATGTTAACGATTTATATTTTTTTCTTGTTGACCATTGCAAAGATAGCAGAAAAAAAATATTAAAAATAATTGTAAAACATAAAACTGCTTTCTTGTTTGGGTACCATGGACACACCACAGACCAGTTTTACCATGTTGGTGCTTACTGTTGATGGTTTCCTGTAGTTAAATTGACATTCCCTAAGGTTTTCACTATAAGTTACCTTCACAACTGAATTACTGTTGTTTCTCCCAGATGCAGATCCACTGATTTCTAAAACTATTTTTAATCATATTAAGCTTAAACCCTATGCATTTGTAAATCTATTTTTGAACACTTGACCTCATTCTTGAGTAAGTAGAAACTGCTTGCTCTTCCTACGGTCAGCAGTTGGTTTAGTCTTACAGAAGGCTTGCTGAACAATTGGTGGGTCTTCTGTCATAGGTAAATGTTGTGCTGCTTCATCAGTATTACTTGCAATCACTGAATCCGTAATATGTAGGCAATGCTCAGCATAATAAGAAAATATATATTAATTACAATACAAGTTATGATGCTTTGATCTGATAAGACAGCGAACTCCTTTTGAATAAAATGTCTATAATATGAATATAAAAATATTTTTTAACAGTTACAGAAATGTGCATACTACTGTATATTACCTATGAAAACTTAGAAATAAATAATAAATCACTCAGTGGTTTATTTCTGCATCTTGTATAACTGATACCATAGATAATGGAATGAAGTTAGAATTCTTTAAAAAATTAAAGTAAAATGAAATCGGAAAACATTTAACATTTTTATTGTGTAAGTTGTCTCTGCAAGTAAGTAATGTAGAATATCTACTTTTTATATCCGTGCTTTAGTTTCTTAAATATTCTGTTAAATCCCAGATTTACTTTGAAACAAGAAGAGGAAAAGAGGCTCAGAGTAGAAATGCTATATGAGAAAACAAAAGAAAAACTGAGAAGGAAAGAAGATCAATATTGTAAAGAGATGGAGGAGAAGCAGAAACTTGAGTTACACTCAAGGAATTCAGAAATGGAGTTAATAACACTGAGGAAGCTCTTGAAACAGGTATATTAAAAAATGAGTTAAACACTTTTCTTCTTATTTTCTGATTCTTTTTAACTGACATTGTATTCCAGTATGCCTAAAGAAGGAAGTCCTTTCTTCATGGAAGAGGTGTTGGGTAACTATTGCCAAATTTTTGAGGACAGTTGAGAACTGTTGGTTCACAAGTGGTCTGGGTTTGCTTTTGATTTTTCTTTTAATTTGCAAGTTTGTGATGCCTTTTTTCCTTTTCCAAAATTTAGATTTCATTTGTATTTCAGGCAAAGCCTGACTTTGAGTTATTTTTCTGAAGTTCTGTATTTCTTCTTAATTTTTCAGGAGAAAATTAAAATTTGTTTTTATAGGTGGATTATCATAACTGTAAGGAAGCAAAAATATTTGAAAGAATACAAAGGAGAATGGGATGATTTTGCTAGCTCTTGATTTTTCTCAAGATGCAAGTAGTTTAATTGTATTACTGTAGGTTGAAGAAGAGCGTGATGAAACACAAAGACAGCTCTCTCAGGAAAAGAGTGCTAGAGCCCTGCAAGAAGGAATTTTGAACAACCACCTTTGGAGACAGAAGGAACTAGAAGAAGAAACAAGAAGAACTATAGAAAAAAATTCAGAGGTAAACAGATGTTTTTTCTGATTAATTAAATTTCACCATGCTCGTTCTAAAGTTTTATATTAAATCTTACATAATTTTTTGTGCTTCTTGCTGCATTCTTTACAGTTTACCATCATAACTCTGTAAATACCCTTTCTGTTTCCCCTTATGTCTTTAAATGTTCAGGAAAGCAGCATCAGTCCTATATGTACCTGATTTGCATGTTCAAGTAGGAAACTAAAAGAAGATATAATTTACCCTCTTTCTTAAGTGATCTGTTATTTTTCATTTCATAAAGATTATCATCACTTTTTAAGGCTTCTATCAGTGAAACACCTAGTTATGTCAAAGGTTGACCAGGAAGAAGGTTGTTTGATACTTACTTGTGTTCCCATTACTTGTTTTTTTTAAACTACTTATTCCCTTATCACACTTACTTACTTCAGGTTTACCTTTCTTTTCCACCTCCACATACTAAAATTTTATGAAGGCATATCAGCAATGAGTTAAACTCTCTGTAGGAGTTGGAATAATTGGAGGAGAAAAAGCAATTATAAACACACTATTAAAAAAAAAATCTTGAAAAGGGTTTCTGAATTTACTAAGAATGTCCAGTGCTTGGAAGAACTATTTGTTCTTGGCTGTGCTACCCAATAAACATAGGGTGAATATGTTTATGTGGGAAAGAAGTCATATAACAAACAGGAAATATACAAGACTATTGCATTCCAGGGATGATTAAGTTGTATAGCTAACTTTTAGTAATACAAAAGAGTAAGGGTTAAAAAGACATTTGACAACTGATGCAAGATGAAAGGTAACACAAGAAGGAAAATACCCTTTTTAGCCTTGTTTTTTACCAGATTTGTAACACAGCTAAATTAATGGGAGTATTTTAAAGGCATGTCCATACAACAAAGCACTGTCATTTTAAAAGCTTTATACTTGAGATATTTTCAGTAATTTTATTATTTGGTTGCTGGCTTAAGAAGAAAAAAAAAAGGCATTGTATAGTTGGGATTTTCATTTATGTTTTAAGGGTATGTTACACTTCCAGTGTGTGCTAACATTGTACTCATGCATGGGTTCACAGAGTAGCTTAAGTATTACCTGAAATTTCACTCTTGTCTTTGAAATCATGCTTCAGTATTAGAAATGTTAAAATGCAGTTTGATGCTGAAGTGTTTATGTAGACTTGTTTGCCAACTGCCTGTTTATTCATGTTCTCTGTCATTCAGGAATCCAACACAGAGAGAGAGAAGGATCTATTGTACAAAAATCAGCTACTACAAGATGAGATTGCTATGCTAAGACTAGAACTTGATCAAGTAAGACTTAGGCACCAAGAGGAAGAAGGAAAGTATTTAGAGGAAAATGAGACCTTGAAAGAAAAAAATGAAGATCTCAAAAAGGAACTTAAACTGAATGAGGAAGCCTTAACAGAAACAGTTTTTCAGTACAATGGACAGCTGAACTTATTAAAGACAGAATCTGCAGTGTTAACTTCCAAACTTGAGCAGACAAAAGAAAGCAAAGACAAACTAGAAACAGAAATTGAATCATTTCGTTGCCGCCTGAACACTACTGTTCAAGAACTTGAACGTCATCAGTCATCAAAAAGTGATGCTGAACGATCATTTCAGAAGGAACGCGATGAATGGCTTCGCTTGCAAGACAAGCTCCATCATGATCTCTCTGATGTACGAGAAACCAACAAGAGCTTGTCTCAGCAGCTGAGTAAAGCTGAAAGCAAAGCTAATAGTCTAGAAAATGAGCTTCACCAGTTGAAACAAACGCTTAGAGAAAAAACATTGCTTTTAGAAATGACACAAAAAGAATTAAGTCAAGCCCAGTGTCAGGCAAAGGAATACGATCATGCTCGACAACTTGAGAAAGATCAAGTAAGCAAATTTATAATAAAGCAGGAATCCATGCAAGAGCGACTGGCCCAGCTTCAGAGTGAAAACCTTTTGCTCCGTCAGCAAATGGAAGATATGCAGAACAAGGGGATCATCAAAGAAAAAGTAGTGAATGATGTGCAGGACCGGTTTAATGATATTTTCAACAAACTTAGAGCTGATACCGAAAAGCAAGTTTACCTAGTGGAAGAGAGAAACAAAGAATTAAATGCCAAGTGTACTGATTTAAGAGAACAAGTCTTTAAATATGAGACTGATAAAGTAGAAAGAGAGGTAAAGTACAGACTTGGAAAGAACAATTTAAAGTTTTTCAGTTCTTGAAATTATTTTATGTTTCTAAAATGTACCAGGTAGAAATTACGTGCATGGGACCAATTAATACTGATTTTTTTTTCTGGTTTGTCGTGTTTCTCTTGGACTTGTGGAAGGTTTTGGCAAACAGGGTATTACTGCTGAGATCTGAGCAGAGAGCAGAAAAAAGATATCCAAGTCTAAGCTTTAATCAAGAAAAGTGATTCTTCTCTAGAATTTTCTTCATCTCTTTTCCTTAGTGTGTTTTATTCCATATAGAATGGTTTTATGTATTTGATGGTTTTTATATATGTATTGCACTGATGACTCAAAACAAGAGTGGTATAAAAGGCAGAACCATGCAATATGCAAGGGTTGAGAAATGAAGGTGCAAACAAGTTAAATGATGGGGGATGGATTTATATTAAGCTCCTATAGAGAAAAAAAAATTGCTTCTCTGTAAGTTGCTATCAGAATTTAAGAGTATTATAGTAGTGTCCAGGTGTTAATTTGTGTATGTGTTTTGGGGATTCTGCGGGGCCTGCCTGTTCCTCATGAAGTTCATTTCAGATTCTGACCTAAGCTTTCACTTCTCTATTTTATGATGTGGAGCCACATTTAGATGTGTTCTTTTATTTTTTTTCCGGTTCTGTGAAAGACTAGTTAGCTGGACAGAAGGCTAATTAGGAAATCAGTTAAACTGTCTTTCTGCAAATTGACACAGTATATGAGTATGAAATATGCTCCTATGCAGAGCACTAGTATAATTTCTGTATTGCTCAAACATGCATGAACCAAGTATTACTTCCATTTTAGCATGTACATGGTTTTTGTCAAGAAAACAGCGTGGAAGGAAAAAAAAGGTGGGGGTAGGAGTGAGGAATAAGTAGACAGTTGAAAAAGCTATAGGTAATGGGAGAATGCACTATATATGTTTATAGGAGTAGGTAGGGTCACCAATTCCGGTAGAGCAATGATTTAAAAGTTGCCTTACCCATTTTGTTTAATCTTCCTTGACTTTTGGGAAAATAGGAACTAATCACATTCAGTATTTAGACACTCTGGTGTAAGGTTTGTCTCCCTTAATGGTTTGAACAGTGATTTAAAATTACATTTCCTTTGTCATAACAAATCCAGAATCTTTGAGTGAGGTAAATATCTGCATGTGTTAGATAACCACCTTATTCTTCATTTGTGAGTTACTTCAAGGGAGGGGGGGAGAACTCCAGCAGTTCTGTCAGTCATTTTAATCTGAATTGCTTTGTATTCGTACTACCAAAATAACAGGTTCCTTTTGAAGGCGATAGATAGATAGATAGATAGATAGATAGATAGATAGATAGATAGATAGATAGATATGGTTTATCCCAATTTTTATAAACCTAATCTGTCAGTATAAAGGTAGTTGTTATTCTAAAATGAATGTAGTAAGAAGTCTTCCAAGGGATATGATTCAACATAAAGTGTATCTCAGAAGAGCTTTCAGATATATGTATTCATTGAATTATATTTATATAATGGAGGAATAGAACAAAGAACACTCTAATATAAAGTCTTGGGTTTTGTCATCAGAGTAATCAAACTAGGGCTCTTACATCACCACAGATTTCTTTGGCTTTTGTTAGAAAAAAATACATGATTGCAGTGTGTGCTTCTGTGTGGTTCTGAGAAAAACAGTACTTGAGGCTTTTTTTATGTATTAGGAAGGAGAAATCCTCATTAAAAGCTGCTGATAGTTTGGAGGTGCTCAGCTGAGCAAGATGAAGAGAGGACATCATCTATACAGATACCTGCTGGTGGCAGGCAAAATTTCATACCTTTGAGTTCAATCCAAAGACAGTTCTGTTAATCAAATAAGTTTAAAATAAAGGCACATTTCACGTTCATACAATTTTCTTCATACTAATTTAACTGTTTCATTAGGGCATGGTCAGACAGCTGCAGCAGGAGCTTGCTGATGCTCTTAAAAAACAATCTATGTCGGAAGCTTCACTTGAAGTTACTACGCGCTACCGCAGTGACCTGGAGGAAGACAAATTGCGCTTGCAAAAAGAATTGGAAAAGGTTAAAACCAAGGTACATAATGCTTATATCAATAAATCTGAGGATAGCCATTAAAAGTAGGAGCAAACGTTGTCCTAAAACCTAGAAGAAACGTCAGCAAGTGAGATTTAATGCTGTGTGATTCAGTTTCACTGTTTTATAAAGCTGATGTCCATGATGAGAAGGTCTGTGACATGATGACACTATGTCCTTACTTGGACAAAGGTGTCTCTTTGCAAAGGTCGTTTGAAGTGTCTATAGCTTACTGCATTTCGTTTGGCAAAGCAGGTTGTTTCATTCTGAAGAACAGTAGAAGTAATGGACTGCTGCCTTTGGGCTTTTTTATGCTGTCTGTGCTTCCCCTGCCCCACTCCTACCCCCCTGCCATCAGGTAACATGTTTTCAATTCTGAAGGCTTTTGCAACTTATTCTGCATATATAATTTTCCATTCTTTTTTCCCCCTTCTTTGACCCTGCAGTTATTTGCCATCCTTAAGCAGCTTTCTTGCAAGTGGCCTGTAAGCTACTTTCTGAGGCAGGGACCACCTTTTGCAGTGTCCTTACAAAAACTGAAGTATAGAGGCCTCAGAGCTTGGAAAGAAAAATCATCTTCACCTCCCTGGGAGGGAGGCAGAAAGTCATCTTGGGAGAAGGATGAACTTTTTAATTTGTGTCTTCATGGAGGAGCAAACAGGTGGATACAAGGAGTGTCACGAGTCACTGAAAGGGTGGCAGGCCGTGTCGGTGCTTAGAGCCGTGCGGTAGTGCCCACGGCAAGGATGGCAGAGGCCAATATAAAGGCTGATGTAGTAACACAGTTTGTCTTCGTTTGCTAGTAGGAGTGAAGGTTTGAACAGACTTGAAATGATTGCAGTTCGTTGGGTAGCAGCTATGCACAGCTATATGCAGAACTTGAATTCTGCAGCAGCAGGTGACTCCTCTCTAGAAAAGCTCACCTCATGACTGCAAACTCCTGCTGTGATTTTACAGTTGCGGGAGTTGGAAGAACAGCATCTGCAGTCTGAGCATTGTGTTCGTGACTTGAAGACGGCCTTAGATAATAAGGAAAGGGAAGTCATCGCTTCTTCCCAGAAACTGCAGGACCTCCTGTTAGTGTCTTCTGGGACTAATGCTACTATAAAACAACTGGAAGAGCACGTACAACGGTAAGAGTAGCGCAGTGAAGCAAGGTGTCTGTCACTTTCTGGGATTGTGTGAGAGCGACAGGGTAGCCTTGTTGCCTCACAGCGAGTTAATACATGACTCTGAAGGATGCTTTTGTCTTAGATTATGTTATTTCACGCTGTTTTTTTCAGAACTTCTGCTCTGGTAGAGTTCCATATTAAGACCTGTATTTCTTTTTAAGCCTAGAATTTGAAAATGCCAGGTTGGAAGCCACAGTCCAGCAAGAGAGCACTAGGATTGAAGCCCTTCAGAGAGACCTGCAAGCCTCTGCCTCAGTAAGCTGATCACAAGCTTCCCTTTTTGTCAGCCTAGTTACCTATTTCTGTGGGGAAATTTTAAGATGAGGTTTTCCGGGAGAGCCTCGGGGAACTTGGTTCCTGCGTTCTCCTGAACATAGGCTGAAGCAGGCTGCTTTTCTGGCCCATTCCCCGGCTTTCTGGTTTTGAGCATTTTCCCACACTCCTATAGCAGGTCCCACTTAATGCTCTAAAAGGTAAGGATCTGACACTAATACGCTGCTGTAACTACTGTCTGCTTTAGACCCGTCGTGACATCAGATGCTACTTCAGACACTTGTCGCAGTGTGTGTCATTAAAGGTATTCATCGAGTTAACTTGTGGAAAATCCACAGGGGATATTGATGCCAAGCGCTTCATGTTGGAGGCCGGTCTGGCATCATCAGGCTGGAGCAAAAACTCTACAAAGCATTTGCTGTGCAGAATTGCTTTTCCTTTGGCCACTTGCGGTGTGATTGCTTTGGTGAAACAGTGAACAGGAATGTATGTGGTATCATTTGCAGCACTGAGTGTGAGCCTTGGAATTGCCACTGCCTCTGCGCAGTGGTTAATTTTGGCTCAGGTGAGGTGTTCATCTGTGGCCTGTATGAAGCAAATTATTTTTGTATGGTAACCAGTGAACTAAGGTTCTTGTTATGACTGTAGTTGTTAATTAGTGCTGAAGAGATTTTGAAAATAACTACATATGAAAGCTGAACTTCGATGTACTGACACCGACAAGAGAAGAGGGAAGGCAGTCACAGTGCTGGTCCTTCCCCTTTGCTTAACAGGCCATGGTTTTCATATGTACTGTGAAAAGCTGCTCCTTCCTGTTTCCATTGGAGATGCTTTGTATCCCGCATGGTGCTCTCTCTCCCCGAAATAAATGGCAGAGGGGATGATTGCTGACAATTTTGCAGTGGCATCAAACTAAGGCTGTTTTGATCATTGGTGCTGGGTGTAAATACTACAGGAATGAAGAGGTGAAGAAGCGTGTGTAATACTTATTTTTTGTAGTGAGGTGTAAACTGCAGTCTGGCAAGTCACAGTGCATCTTCTTGCTGTTTTCAATGCTTCTGTAGGTTCATAAGCGCCTGGAAGACTTGATAACTGGCTTACAGACAACACAAGCAGCTGCAGAGGACCACCAGCAGCAGGTACGTAACTGGCTGCCATGAAGGACTGTTGTAGTCTTTGAATTTTTTGTGTGCAGGTAACTGAGGAAAAGATCAGGTGGGCTGTGTAGGCACAGTTCAGCTGACAAATACCTTTCTGGTTTTAGAGCAAGGTACCCTCAGGGGAAAAGACTGTAAATCTCCTTGTTCCCTGCTGCTTTGTTTTGTATCTGTGGTGGTGTACAAGATACTCGTGCTCATCAGCACCATTTGTCTGACAATTTCTCTCCCACATCCCTCTGAGAAGGAGTGAACAAGTGGCTGTGTGGTGCTTAGCTGTCTACTGGAGTTAAACCATGGCACATGATGGATGTTGTGGGCAGGAGGGAGGTCTGTGCCTGAAAGCTGAGAGAGGAGACCTGACTTGGGAGATCCATGTTACCTTTGCAGCTTTGTCACAGATTGCACTTCAGACCACATTAGCTTCTGTTGTATGACCCAGCGTTACACCTACTCTGTAAGGACACTAGAGAAGGTTGTATTGCCCGAGGTGAGGATCTTTTGTCTAAGCCTTTGTCCTGAGGTTTTCATGACTTTCTGTAAATCTGTACAGAGTGCCACTAAAAACATCTAGTCATCTTGCATTCTTTGTACTTGAACAAAGTCAGCAAGTTCCGTTCCGCTCAGATCCACCTGTTAGGCATGTCTTTGACCCTTTGGGTAGAAGTATTGCCAATCTGAAAACATTATCTTACTCTCAAGAGATGTACAGCTGTTACAGAGGCCGTGAGCTGAAGGTATTTTATGTGGTGGGCACTAGAGGAACTTTAATATTTTGAAGTACGTATCATTATGACCTTCAGAGGACCTTTCGAAGAAAGCGGTAGTGTGTGTGTGTGTGTGTGTGCGCGTGCGTGCACGTGCGTGTCTTCTTATCTCCCAAAGCTTCAACCTCGTCTTGTTGCTTCTGGAGCGTTCATTCTTTGCGCCAGCTTCAACTGCTGTTCTTGGTTGTGTTTCCTGAGGTGTGTTTTACACTCCGCATTAGCTTCATCTGCATGTCTTGGACGGGGAGAAGAGAGCTCAGGCCTGTTTCCATTTCAGTTACTGCTTTCTACTGCAGTGCTGTCTTTCCGGTCACCTTAGCTTTTTCTTTTGCCACTGTTGCTTTCACAGATGCAAAAGCAAGCTGTGACATCCAAGGACTTGCACAGCATATGGGAAGAGCAGTTGAAGTCAAGATCCCACCTTGAGGAGCGTGTTGCTCAGCTTGCCAGGGAAAAGGCTGAGCTCTTGGAACAGGTGAGCCCAGAAAACATTCCAGGCACCTAGCCAATACCCAGGAGAAGCGGGTCCTCATTTTTGTCAAGTTCCTACATACTGGGCTTTTTCTGTTATCCCTGCCATTCAGGTTCTGAGTATCTTTCCTGTGGGGATTATCCAGGAAGCGAATAAAAGCTAGCTGAATATTCTGGAGTGGTTCTTTTGAGTTTCCTGTGCGGTTTGCTATTAGTTGAGCACACAGAGCAGGGGTGCAGATCCCCAGTTCTTTCCTTGGATTCTTTTTGGTCATGTTGTGATGTTGTGGTTTCTAGTCAGGGTTAAAATGCTTCCTCTTTCCAGTGCAGTGTATGGAGAAGCTACTGTATGTTTTCAGGGTAGCAGGAGATTAGTAGCATTGCAGAAAAACATACTAAAGGAATTCTGGCCAAATAAACTAGTGTTTGGGAAGCAAGAAATGGATGCCAGTTTCCAAGGGGCAGCCTTTCTCTTTTCTCCTCTTTCATAGATTAAAAATGGAAGTACAAAGTGAAAACAACTGTCAGCTCTCCTCTGGCTTGGCTGAGAAAACACCAAGTAGAACAACATATGAATAAACACCACAAAAGAAGGGATGGAAGTAAAGACTAGGGGGAATTAAACATTGAAGAATTCCAAAATATTACATTCCTCTACAAGACTCTTCCTACTAGTCTTTGTAGATCCCAGAAAAGCTTTAAACTGATATATGCTCTCCCATGATGAGCACAACTTTGTAATCCCTGTTATGAGCAGAAGAGCTGCCAAAAGGGTTCTCCAGCATTTTTTGCACCTTTTTGCATGGAAGCATTAGAAGAGTGTGGGCTTTGCTTCAGCAGGAGTATCTGTTTCTGTTGTTAGGTATTGGTCTGTTTGATGTGAAACCTGAAGTGATTAAATGTTCTAAGGAATTCTGACCATTGCCGTGCTGTGGAAATTGGGTAACAGATAGAGATGTACTGCAGCTTCTCTGTGGAGAACTCTAGATGCACATACTGTATGGAGACACTGTTCCTATGCTCTCTGTGTCACGTATCTTTTCTGTTTTGAAAGTGTGAGAGTGAAAGAAAGAAAGTGAAGAAGCTGGCAGAGTTGAAACGCCCAGTCGAACTGCGTCTAGATCAAGAAATGAAAAGAAACATTGAACTGCAGAAAGACTGTAAGAGGTATGGCTGTTTAGTGTGGTGAAGAGGTATCCCTGAGCCCAAGTCAAGCTTTATTGCACTTCAGTGTAAAACTAGGGGCACGTAACCCTGAGCAAATTCAAGCTCCCTGAATTAGTTCTTGCAAGGGGCTTCTGTACACACCTGTAGTTTTCAGTAGTTGACAAAAGAACTGCAAATGCAGATTGCCCTGTGGCTTTCCTGGGAGGGGAGGAAGCCTTTTATTCCCCTTTCCAGGTGACATTTGGTCCCTACAAGTGACTTGTGGTGTGGGAATGCTGGTTTTTCTCAGTAATTCCTGGTGTGTCAAGCACATTAAAGATGAAGGCAGGCACGTCTGCACTGTTTACTTGAGAACATGTGAAACAGGCCCGTTGTTCCTTTGCTTCATTGTTTTCTTGATTGATTTGCTGTGCAGGTTGAAGA